TGTGTGTGTGTGTGTGTGTGTGTGTGTGTTACTAGGGATGGAACCTAGGGATGCTCTACTGCTTGAGCTATATCCTCAGCTCTTTTTTATGTTTTATTTTTGAGAAACGGCTCTCACTAATTCCTGAGGCTGGCCTCAAATTTGTGATCCTCCTGCCTCAGCCTCCCAAGTTTCTGGGGTTGCAGGTGTAAGTCACCATGCCTAGCTCACTTTAAATTTTTGTGAATTAAAAAGTAAATGACAGGGGGGCGGGAGTTGTAGCTCAATGGTAGAGCACTTGCCTTGTATGTGTGAGGCACTAGGTTCGATTCTCAGTACCACATATGAATAAGTAAATAAAATAAAGGTTCATCAACAACTGAAGAAAAATGGTTCTCTTAAAAAAAAAAAAAAAGTAAATGAGAGGGGGGCCAGAGTTGTGGCTCAGTGGTAGACTGCTTGCCTAGTATGCGTGAGGTACTGGGTTTGATCCCTGGCACCACAAAAAAATAATCAAATAAAATAATTGAAGGTATTGTGTTCATCTACAACTAAAAAAAAAAAGTAAATGAGAAAGATTGTAAGTTCAAGGTCAGCCTCAGCAACTTAGTGAGACCCCTGTCTGAGAATAAAATATAAAAAAAGAGGATGGGAATGTAGTTTAGTAGAGGGAAAAAAAAACATTTATGTCATCCATGCAATATAAACACATTAGAGAAAGTTTGGAAAATGGAAAACATATACAATTTTATCATCTGAATAACTATTATCTCATTTTACTAGTACCCACTAGCATGTTTTTAGACAAAGTTTTTAAAATATACTGTGCATTTACTATGTGCTTTTGCCATTCTTGGACTTAGTATACATTTAATCCTCACACCAAACTTATATAGAAAATTGTTATTACCTCATTTTGAAGAAACTGAAGCACAGATAGGTTAGTATCTTATCTAGGGTTATATGACTAGTAACTGACTGACTCTCTGTTTTATTAGATTCAGACTGAGAATCTCAGAATCTGGCTCCAGAGTCTGTACCCTTAACTACAAGACTATTTTGCCTCTCACAATTTTGCATGCAATTTTGTGTCCTCCTTCTTCTAATTTAGTATTACATTTTGATGTGTTAGAATGCTATTCACAGCCATCACTTTGTAAGACTATATAGACACTACAGTGACTCACTATCCCATTTACTTCCTTCCAAAAATGTGGTTCTCATGACATTTGTATGGTGCTATAATTGATGTTCACCTTCCATATTGTGTTTAGCTAAAGGCAGTAGCACTAGTCTGGAAAATATTTCCTTAACTAGTAAAGAAATATCACTTCTTTTTCTGTGAACTTTACTTTAAAAAATAAACAATTCAGGCACAGGCATAGGCACAGGTGTGCACAACCTGTAATCCCAACTACTTGGCAGACTGAGGCAGGAGGATGGCAGACAGATTGCAAGTTCAAGGCCAGCCAACCTGAGCAACTTAGCAAGACCCTATTTCAAAAAGAAGGTGAGGGTGGGGTTCCTTCTGTGGATGTAGTTCAGTAAATTCTTGCAGAAACAGTGGCTACCTGGAATAAGCCAATAAGGAATGTTTCCAAAGCCCACATTCACCATTATATGCAACTCATACTAGCTATAAGAACAAGTTACTTAATTACCCAGTGCCTCAATTTCCTCATGAGAATAACAACTACCTTTAAGATAATAGGGTTTTTTTTCTGCGGTGGTGGTGCTGTGGATTAAATTCAGGGGCACTCAACCACTGAGCCACATCCCCAGCCCTTTTTTTGTATTTTATTTAGAGACAGGGTCTCAGTGAGTTGCTTAGCACCTTGCTGTTGCTGAGGCTGGTTTTTAGCTCACAATCCTCCTGCCTTGGCCTCCTGAGCCACTGGGTTTACAGGTGTGCACCACTGCACCCGGCAATAATAATAGGGTTTTAAAAAACAAAACAAAACATTTTTGTTGTCAATGAACCTTTATTGCATTTATTTATACATGGTGTTGAGAATTGAACCCAGTGCCTCACACATGCTAGACAAGTGCTCTACCACTAACTCCAGCCCAATAATAGGGTTTTTATATAATTTAATGTGGTGTTTGTTACAACAGTCCCTTCAGAAAGGTATTACCATCTCCATTTTATAATTGGGAAAAGTGAGGCTATTAAAGATTGACTTGACTAAAATTTTACAGCTAGCATAAAACGGATTTATGCCAGACAGTTTGACTCCTCCACTGAAACTCTTAACCACTATCAGTATTGTCAATTTGTAGTATAGTGTAGCATATAATAGATGTTCAGTTAATAATAGCTAGTAAAGAAAAAAAGTTTAATGATATTTAGGACTGTGATTCTATATCTCCAGATATCAGTCATAGATGCAGTGTTCATTACTCCCACATTATGTTCAGGGATCCTGCAAGGCACTAGAGGAGGAGATATAATGGTTCAAGATGGTGAGCTAACAGAAGTCCTAGGTAGTATATGAATTAATTATCAAATGGGTTCTCTGCATGAAGGTCTTAGTTTAAGAGACTGGAAAAGAGAAAGGTTACTTTGTGCTTGGGAAGCTTTACTGAGGAATTGGGATTTGAACCAACCTTTTGGATTAGATATTATATGGACAGGTTGAGAGGAGAAAAAAGGATAAACTTTATGTTAAAGTTAATATAATAGAATTCTGTTTCTGATAGTTTGTTTATCAAACCCATGGGTATTATTTCCTTTACTTTGCATCTGAGGACATTGAAGTTCAATAAAAGTTAAATAATGTTCCCAGGTGTCAGAGTTAATAAGCAATAGAGCCTAGATTTAGATCTAAGTTTGGTTGACTCCAAAGCCCATATTCATCATTATATGCCTTACTGTTCGATTAGCAGTGAAATCCAAATTTTAATGTAAATTGAACAACAGATACTTTCTTAGATGTTTATCCGTTGTGCTGGCTCAAAACTGAATCTCTTCTAGTAAGGAATCTTGCTGTGCAAAGATTGGGATAATAGTATCCATTCTATGATAGTGCTTTTTAAGGCAGTGGGGGCAGGGGGATGATAAAGAACACACTTCAGAAAGACATTGATAAAGAATAGTGTGTTCTTGGTGCTGCTGTGTTGACACCTAATTAGAAGTCAATATTGTAAGCATAATGACCTGGCCAATTGCTGAACTGACTGCCCAAGTGACACAGTTAGAGTCCCCAGATAATAACGAAAGATAAGAGTATTATTTGCCTGCCCAGTGCCACATTGTCACAGTATTTACATTAGCACGCAAATGCTGAAGTAGATTCTTCAGGGCTTGCATCTAAGCTGCTTCTGGCCAGGTGGCTAAGGGTAATATATCACAAAATTTGATGTAAGACCCAATCTTCCTAAGTACAAATGCATTTAGAGGAAAATAGACAGAAAATAGCTTTTCTTTCTTGAAAAACAAAAGAGTGGTTGTGCTAAAGCAGCACACATAGAAAGCAGAGAAAATATTCCTCCTCATACAGGCATTGTATTAACTATCTTCTTAAGAACCACAGCCAAAATTATCCTGATATTTGGGGTTTCTCTGTGCTATCTTTTGGGTGATGTGTTTCTCCTTCCCTTATCTGCCTTTAATGAGCAGATAGAGTAATATCTCAGAAGGCGATTGGATTTTTTCCGGTGTATTATATCCATTTTGATTTGTGTTTGGCCAATGGTATGATATATTAAATAGCTTATATTTATCTGTGGGTGTTTCACATATATATTTCTTAATGCTGAGAGTCACAAATAGCTGTATGGAAAGCTTCAACCAGCCTGATTACCGTGGATGTGCAATTGGATTGAGAAATGTGTACTCAGAGCTTATGATCACTGGCCCGGTTGAGTCTGGGTGATGCATGTGGCTTTCCAGGGATGCTGCTATTTACATCTGTTAATGGCCCTTCTTGATGGCCAGCTCCCCAATGAGGTGATATGCAGCAGCTTGGGGATGAGGGACCAAGGCTGCAGATGTGGCTGGGCTCCATTAGGCAGGACCAGGAATACTGGTTGGCTTTGTTTTGGGGGGTGAGTGGTGGGGGCAGGGAGGGAAGCATGAGCTAGAAAGGGGGGGGGGGATGAAAAGCGTTATTTATCCAGGTATATGGGAAACAGACAGGCAGACATGAAAAACAGCAGCTGTAACTGGATTGTAAGTGAATAGAAAAGAAACGGAACTAGCAGATAACAAGTAGAAGGATTGACTAGTTCTCATATAGGAAGGGATTGAAAAAGGAGAAGGTGGTGAGGGTTTGGGAAGAGACATGTCACTCTGACTTTTAAGCCATTATCACTTATTGTGTGGTGATCAGATGCTACTAAACAGAACAGAGATTTACATGTATCATAGTATAGCAAGAGATTAGTTCTGTGCATCCTTTAGTTTTCTGATATTGGAAAAAAGCAACAAGAATTGCTCTTAAGAATACATTGCTGAGTCACAGTAAATTCTTGCAGGAATGGTGCCTACCTGGAATAAGCCAATAAGGAATGTTTCTATTCCTGTCAAATGGTAGAGGACAGTAAAAGGACACAAAAGTTGTACAGTCCATGAGAGGTGATTCTCCTTCTGCTCCCTTATGAGTTAAAGGTTTCTTGGAATGAATCTCACTAAAACTAGAAACAATGGCTCAATATACAAGTTAGTAAAATGGGAATTCTGGATTTAATTACCACTGCCAAGGCATTCTTCCACACGTATCTTGAGTGTAGGTAGACTTTGTTTTTTTCTATCTTTGAGTAGGCCCAAAGAAGGAATTGAGACCACTTTGGAATAAATTGTAAACCACCCATTCCTAGCAAAGTCTATAGGGAGTAGTATACTGGAGGATTTAAAAAAAAAAAATTTTTTTCTGGCTTTCAACAGGGAGTTTGGCTCTTTAGCACTGCCTATTTTTACATGAAGGATGAGTCCTAGGTATGCGCTCATACCTTCAAGGATCCTGAGAAAAAATTCTGCATGTAAGAAGCTTGTGTTTATTCATTTATTTATATCTTTGCAGATTGGCATGGTAGCTTGGAAAATGAGCCTTAAAAGTCCTGAATATCCAGAAGGCAGGGATATTATTGTTATTGGCAATGACATTACATACCGAATTGGGTCCTTTGGGCCCCAGGAGGACTTGCTATTTCTAAGAGCTTCTGAACTTGCCAGGGCAGAGGGTATCCCACGCATCTTTGTAGCAGCCAATAGTGGAGCAAGAATTGGACTGGCAGAAGAAATTCGTCATATGTTTCATGTGGCCTGGGTAGACCCTGAGGATCCTTATAAGGTACGGACTAAGAAGCGATAATATTTCAAAATACTGTATTGTTATGCACATGTGTGTGTACGTGTGAGGGGTAGGAGAAAGGAAATGGTTTAAGTTTGAAAGTCTGCACTTATGATGATAACTAAATATAAAAAAAATTACTGATGAAAATTCCTTAAGATACCATATTAGGACGTTGTGTCTGTGTTTTTAGTATGCTCACCTCGTTTTTCCTTCAGCTTTAAAACAGATTGCTGTTGCTTGAACATTAGATGAGATAATTGGAATGCATTTAGCATGAGACACGCCAAACCCAAAACATACATCTTAAAACTATTCCACTGTGGTTTTTAGGACTTACAGCCAGTCATGAACAAAATTCATTATACCTTCAGCTTCTTCTCTAACCTCCCTGGTTCTACTTGAAACCTATTTCTTTTCTAAAGATACCACTTCCCCTATAACCTTCTTAAGTACTGACTGATTTCTCTCTACTCTGCTACTGAGCCTGGAGGGGGAATACTGTCTTCTTTGATCCTCATTGCTACTTTGAGTCCTTTTATTCTCCTTTTTCCAGGAAAACTCTCCACTTTGAGTCTCACGTCATCAGATTATGCCATACTATCACTGCTCCTTATTACAGTGTTTTTCCACCCTTTGGTCACAGCCTCTCATTCTTTATATATTTTAGTTCCTGGCTTATTGTTGCTTTCTCCAGTACTCTTAGTCATGTGGTAATTCTTGGTGATTGCTCTATCTACATAGACAGTCCTTCCTATAATCTGGCTTCTTGGATCCTGGAGTTTCTCTCCTTCTCTGGTTCCTCTCCTCCACCCTAGTTCAGCCTCTCATTCCCCATAATTTCAGTTTCAAGCATCACTTTGTTTTCCACCTTCATTCTTTCTTTCCAACTCACTTTCTGTAGTTCTCTTGAGTCCAACAATCCTTTAAACCCACCAGGACCTACCACCTTTTTTTCTGTTCTTTATCCTCCTTTCATTCTTTTTTTTTTTTTCCTTCCTGGTACTGAGGATTGAACAAGAAAAAGAAAAATCCCCGCTCTAATCTAGGACCTTCCTTCCTCTTGTACACTTGATGTCCCTTCTTGACAACTTAAGGATGTTAATCAGCACGTCTTGTGCCTTTCCCCTGCATCCCCATTTTCCCTCTCTACTGGATCTACCCCTTTAGCATACAGATACTTATCCCTCCACTGACTATCCCTACTTCATTTTCTCCTTCCCTTTAGAGCAGCACTTTTTAAGAGTTTTCCATATACTCTTCTCTTGTTCCCTCTTTAGTGACTGTTGCCCCTCACCATTCTACTGTAGCTGCTTTTATCAAGGTCACCCATGATTGCATATTGCTGAATTCTTCAGTGAATTCGTTGTCCTCATCTTAGTTATCTGATGATTCAGCAGCATGTGACACAGTTGGTTACACTTTCATTCTTGAAATACTTTCTTCTCTGCTTCCAGTATCCCCGAGTCCCCTTTTTGTCTTTCTACCTTCCTGCCTCCTCTTTCAGTTTCCTTTGCTGCCTTTCATATCTTTACCTGTGAAACTGTTTCAGAGAATAATGAAAGTATTCTGTATTTTGATTGTGGAACGGTTGACAGATTTTATTGCTTAAAAAATATAGTTCAATTAAATTTGTTTTAAGAATGTAGGGAAATTGGTAGTGACCACCAACAGTTATGGGTTTTGGGGGTGGTGGTGGTGAAAGTGTTCTGAAAATTATGGTGATGGTCGCATAATGTATGAATATACTAAAAACTACTGAATTGTACACACTTGGCATGTTAAACACATGCCACGTCTCTGCTTTGTATGTGCGTGTATATATGTATGTATACAAATAAATCAATTATAAAATGTTAATTTTTTAAATATAAATAGGAATTTGGAGTTATTGAAAAAAGCAGGAGGCATGTGTTCAGTGTTCACCATTAGTACCACATAAGCTTCTGATTTTAATTCTGAATCTCTTAGATCTGTGATCTCATATATATTTTGATGATACCATGGAGTTGAGAGAGTGAAGAATAGTAATTCGCATAATTCTTTAATTTTATATTGATATCTTTAATAAAGGTATCACTGAAGATCCAAAAATTACCCATTAGCCTGTTGAAAATAAAATATACATGGAGTTGCAGTAAGGGAGTATCTTGTTTCAGGACAGTGAATAAAAAAATAGGCACTTTCGTCTTTCAAAGAACCATCTATGCTGGCATAAAATCAGACAGTAACTCCAAGAAGTGATGTAGCAATTCAAAGTTACCTTTGGAACAAGCTCATTATGCACACTTTGCTGTATCTTCTGGTTGTGTCACAGTGGCAAATAATGAGTTTAAAACTACTTGTGCTTTACAGGGATACAAGTATTTATATCTGACCCCTCAAGATTATAAGAGAGTCAGTGCTCTCAACTCTGTCCATTGTGAACACGTGGAGGATGAAGGAGAATCCAGGTAGGTATTTATGTATCAGAATAATTTGGTCATGACTAAAGAAAGGAGAATATGATAATTTTTCCTTATTGTCCTGGTAGTCGTACCTTGGAGAGCACTGAGCACTGAATAATGCTTTTTTTTTTTTTTTAGTTGTTAACGGGCCTTTATTTTATTTATATGTTGTGCCGAGTATTGAACCCAGTGTCTCACACATGCTAGGCAAGCGCTATACCCCTGAGCTACAACCCCAGCCCTGAAAAATACCTTTTAAACAACCTAGATGTCTTAGGCTTGAATCCTGGCTCTACCACTTACTATCTGACAGACCTTGTTATTGTTTGAGGTTTGAAAATGTTATTTACAATACTTATTCATTTAAAAAAATTGAAACATGGAAACAGGAAGAAAAAAATGAAAAGTAGACACAATCATACCCTGAGACCACAACTTTGAATTTGTTATATTTTTACTGTCATTTTACATCTCTATCTTTTTTTCTATGTAATTGGGATTATAATAGGAGTTTCTTTTAAATTCTTTTCACTAAAAAGTTATTTGGGGGAAATTTCTTACATTCTTAAAATATTATTTGAAAATATGAAATTTCATGGTTGCATAGTATTTCATCACAATGAACAAATCATATTTGAAAATTCAAGCTATTTTAAATTTTTCACTATTATATCCTTAGGCTGAACATTTTTTAATATTAATTTAGGAATATCTCCAATTTCTTTTTGGATTAATTTCTAGATATGGAATTACTGGTCATAAAGTCCATTTTGGAGCTGGGGATGTAGCTCTGTGGCAGAGTGCTTGCAAGGTCCTGGGTTTAATCCCTAGTACATTAAAAAAAATAAAATAAAAAATCTCCATCTTTAAGGGTTTTTAAAAATAATCTCCGATTGCCCTCCCAAGATCTGAATTCCTAATCAGCAGTATGTGATAGTGCTTGTTTCCTCTGTTTCCTCTCTTTTAATTTTTCTCTGCCCTTGCCAACATTGATTACTGTCAATTAATAAAGTAGGATAAAAACAGCAATTGTTATTTTAACTTGTAGTTTTGATTACCAGTGAAGCTGAACATTTTTATAATCTCTCTGCAAGTATTTTCTAGAATGTTAATTGCTCCAATACTATTTATTGAATAATTCATGTGTTCTTATTTTTTGTTCTGTCTACTCTTGGGTTAATGCCATACTGTTTTAACTATTCTAGTGGCACATATTTCCTCACACTCTAAACACTTTCTCAAATCATATTATCTGTTTTGCCTTTTAAATGTAGGCTCGTGTGTGTGTGTGTGTGTGTGTGTGTGTTTTGCTGGGGATTGAACCTAGTACCTCATGCACAAGAGGCAAGCACTGGTCCACCACTGAACTACACACCTAGTCCTCTTTTCCTTCTTTATTATTTTTTTTAATTCCCCAAATCTTTCCATAATGATTTTAATTCAGATGCTTGCATTCGGTCCACACACTAATTTGTGAAGGCTGACATCCTCAGTATTAACTCTAACCAAAAAAGAAGCATGGTATATTTTTTTCATTTATCCAAGTGTATTTTCAAAAGGTTTATAGTTTTCATATAATTTATTCCAGAAGTTCCCAAACTTTCTTGGTTCATGGCACCTTTAGCATCTCAGTAATTTTTTCACATCACCCCTAATCTAAAAGATACACATAATATTTCTGTTAAATAAATATTTCTAGTTAAACCCTAACAACTTCATAAGTGTTCCTGTCCTAACAACTTAATAATAATTTGAATAAAATAATACATATGAATTGAAAAAATTACTTCATTTTTAAACCATTTACTTACTATGGGATATTTGTGTCTGTATAATATCTCAAACCTTAGAGTCAGCTTAGCTATAGCCACTCACTTTTATTATTCTTCATTGACTTTTGTGTAGAGCTTGCTTTTTCCACAGAAACTGCAAAAACCTGGCTTTGTAAAGATAGGACATTGTCAAAAGAAATATAGCACTATTTGGTGTTAAATCGCGAACAACCTAAAGCTAGTTATTCATGTGGGATCTGACAAATATCACATGTTTCTCTCAAATTGAAAATATTCTTCAGTGCCTTGGTCATCTTGGGACACAGTGTGGCCAGTTTCTTCCTGTTTGTTTGTTTGTTTATTTATTTATTTTGGTGCCAGGGATTGAACCTAGGGACACTTAACCACTGAGCCACATCCCCAGCCCTTTTTTGTTGTTGTTGTATTTCATTTAGAGACAGAGTCTCACTGAGTTGCTTAGGGCCTCACTAAGTTGCTGAGGCTGGCCTTTGAGCTTGTGATCCTCCTGCCTCAGCCTCCCAAGCCACTGGGATTATAGGTGTGCGCCTCCATGCCTAATGAAAGCTGTTTGTTTTATACATTGCTTTTGTTACAAAACAAGTCATTACTTTATTCTGGGGTTCCTCATCTGAAAAAGGAAGATCAGGTAAACTAAGGCCCTTAGCTCAGTGCTGAGCATATAGTAATCAATCAAAAATCCTGGTGGTGGTGTTAGTGGTGGGTTGTTGTTGTTGTTGTTAGTATTGTGGGTTGTTGTTGTTATTATTATTATTATTATTATTATCATCATCATCATCATTATCTGTAATAATGGCAGTGATATTACCTGTCACACTGGACTGTTTTGAGGATCAGAAATCATATGAATGTTTTGTTAATTATAAAACACTATACAAAGTTTTTTATTATAACATTAAAATTTAGTAATACTTTAAAGAATGGTAGCCCTAGATGGTAGAAGACTCAGGTCAGAGAGCAGAAACTGGGAAGTGTATATTCTTTTTTTCTCATAATGTAGTAGAAGAAGATGCCACTTATCACATCATGAATACTTGTGAAGCAATATGCAGGCCTTATGAGAGGATATGCTTCACAGGAAGGGCTGACTGGCCCATGAGTACTTGATGACTATATGGCATGTGGACCTTAAAAAAGAATGTATTACCCCTTCCTCAAATTAATGTGGTTCATTGGCCTCTTAAGGAAGATTAGCTTCATCTGTTATATAACTCTAGAATCCAAGGTCTAGGTAAAGAACAAAAGGAAGAATTGGGGAATTACTGAAATAGGAGTAGCTAAAAATAAAAAACTATAGAAATCTGGAAAGCAGAGCTGCAGCATCATAGACGAACAGCAAGAGCAAAGGAAGAGAATTGATGGAGGGCAGACAGAAAAAAGAGAGCAGAGGAATATGGCAATGGGGGAAAGTAGTTTAAGAATCACTATGGAATATTTATTTATTATTTCAATTTAAAAAATTTTGCCAAGCCTCTGGATAGATGTGGAATAGTAAATAACATATGCCCGTCTCTACTTCCAACTTTATTTTTCCTTTCCTTTATTAGTTGCATTTCCCATTATTAAGTATCACTCCTAATCCCCTACCAGGAAGAAAGACAGATGAGTACTCCCAGTAGATCCATAGGATGCTTTCTGGACAACTGGGTCAGCATGTCACTTCCGCTTGTATTCTGCCTTCCTCCCTGGAGAACTATAGCCAGGAACTCTTACATATGCACTTGGTATTTGAGAATGAGCAGGAGTGGGAGTATGCTGTTTTGGTCTTCCCTTGCATCCCTATCTTGGAAAAGAAAAGGAGTTTTGATTTGAGAAAGTAGCTCAAGCGTTCTCATACCCCTCTATTTGAATTTTTTTTTTTTTTTTTTGGGTGGTGGTGGTACTGGGGATTGAAACCAAGGGTACTCTACTGAGCTATATCCCCAGCCCTTTTCATTTTTTTTTTTTAATTTGGAGATAGGGTCTCACTAAGTAGCCCAGACTGGTCTTGAACTTGTGATACTCCTGCCTCAGCCTCCAGAGTTGCTGGGATAATGCCTGGCTTAATTTTTTAATTCTTATGTAAAATTGTTGATTTGAGGACAGTTAGAGATATACATTGACCCTGCTTTAAAGAAAGAAAGGGCTTTAAAATCTGAGGGCCATCTTGTAGCTTTTGAGTGTTCTTTCAGCAGTGAACCTTTGAGGTTCTGGAATGATTGGAGAGTCATCATTGGCCTTTAATGAGATTATCACCATATGTCAAGCCCTTTTCTTGTTGTCAACCCTTAGAGATAGGTACTACTGTCCCCATTTTACAGAAGTTACTATTATCCTGAGGCATACCACTCTATCAGAGCAAGAATTTGCACCTATCTGCTTAATTCCAGATTTTGTGTTTTATATTCTACCATACTGCTTCCAATAAGATAAGGACCAAGCTAAGAAGGAAAAACACATGAAGAATATAAAAGAAAGTGTATAAAGGTCTTATGTTAAATATAAATTTTCAATATGCTTTTAGCAGCCTTTTAATGGTAATATTTGTTTAATAGTTGTGTTACTATGTTTAACCTTAAAACTTTGGCATGACTCTTATCTACTAGGTATAAGATAACAGATATTATTGGGAAAGAAGAGGGGCTTGGAGCAGAGAACCTTCGAGGATCTGGAATGATTGCTGGAGAATCCTCATTGGCCTACGATGAGATCATCACCATCAGCCTGGTAAATCCTCACAGAATGTAAATTAATTAATCAGTTTATTTATTTATTTATGGTGCTGGGAATTGAACTCAGGGCCTCCAGAATGATAGACAAGTGCTCTCCAGCTTAGCTACCCTACCCCACAGAATATGAAATTTTTAAAAAACTCACTGTGTAGTTAGGTTATTTGTGCCCCATTACTACTATTCAGTCCCAGATAAAAGCATTGCTTGCAAATGTTATTTTAATTATGCAAAATAATGGGAACTTAGGATATAGGATAATGTAAATTAATGAAATAATATAAATTATTTCCCAAGTAAACCTAGGTTTATTTTAGCCTTTAGTTTAAGTTCTTATTTCTCTAAATATCCTATCAGACTTTTAACAACTTAAATTTCTTCTCTTCATAGTACTTTTTTTGCTCATACCTGTAGTGGGGATGCCAGGCATCTCTGAAATGGGCAAGATACTATGATCCTTAAAGTTTCTAATATTTGAAATATTGAATTGATTTTGTCTCTTTGATTGAAAGTGTGTTTTTTGTATTAGTCAAACAGACTTCATAAAATGCAATCTTTATTTCTGTTCATGTGGATTTTACACATTTTATCTTTTCCTTAGTTCTTAAAGCTTGGGAGAGGACATAAATATGTGACATGCATAATTTATTCTTTTTTAAGGTGACATGCCGGGCCATTGGGATTGGTGCTTATCTTGTACGGCTGGGACAGAGAACCATCCAGGTTGAGAATTCTCACTTAATTCTGACAGGAGCTAGTGCCCTCAACAAAGTAAGTTTCTAGGGCTTGGGAGGAGTATATGAAGTTTGAAGCTTATCATGAATTCAAAATTCCAGACCTTGATTGAGCACATGCCTATAATCCCAGCTACTCAGGAGACTGAGGCAAAAAGATCTCAAGTTTGAGGCCAATCTCAGCAACTTAGTGAGACTGTGTCTCAAAATAAGAAAGTGGTAGAGTATCCCTGGGTGCAATCCCCAGCAGTACCACAAAAAATATATCATCATCATCATCATCATCATCATCATCTTTATTAAGGGGTCATTCTATTCATGACTTCCTTAGTTTGTATCTTCCTATCTTCCTCCATTATACTTACCCATTGACTTACTTGCCTTTTTATTCATTCATTCATTTCATTTAACAGATACTTTGAGTAGCTACTGTGTTTCAAGCATTGTTCCAGCCTAACTGTATAACCTCTGCTCCAAAGAACTTACATTCTAGTCTGTCTCTAGAAAGACAGAATTAATTGAATGCTTTTGTTCTGGCCCACAGCCCCTTACTTCTTCTTACCTATGTTACTACGAATAAGGCATGTGGGAACTATTCTCATGCATGGAGCTATCTTTAGTTCTAGTTGTATTTGTTCCCATTTCAGGTCTATAGTGTGGACTAGGCACTGGCCTAGGTGTTTAGGATATCTAATTCTAATGGTTTGAGAAATCTGTCGATAAACCTCTAAAAAAGAAAAAGAGGGCACTTATGGTGTTCTCTTGTATATAAAGTAAGTACTCAGTAAATATTGAGTGGGAAGATAGGTGGATGGGTTGCTGGGAAAGGATATAACGTAGACATTTATCTTTCCTTCCAAAGAAAGACTTTGTATTTTTAAACCAAGCTCACAGGGACTTTTCTAAAGGCAGAAAAAAAAAAAAATGGATGATGAGACTGCTGCTTGCAAAAGTGAAAATTGTCTGAGATGATCTGAATATACAAGGGACAATGCAGTTCTTACTTCTTTGTAGGCATAGAAAACTTGTTTTCTTTTGAGAGCTAAAAATGCATAATGAAATAGTGAGGGGCTGGTTGTTCTCATGCAACTTATATAAACTTTTAGCTCCTTAGCTTTCTTTCTTAGCTGTCAAAGAGGTATTATAAAGCCAAGTATGGTGGCTCATTCTTGTAATCCCAACTTCTTAGGAGACTAAGGCAGGAGAATCATAAGTTTCAAACCAGTCTTGGCAACTTAGTAATACCCTGCCTCAAAAAAAAAGGACTAGCGGTGTAGCTCAGAGGTAGAGCACCCCACTTTCAAGCCTTAATGCTATACAAAACAAAAGGAGGTGAATTATAATTTATAACTTTAAGTAATGTAGTAGAAGCTGGGCAAGGTGGAGAAGATTTGCAATCCCAGCAACTCAGAAGGCTGAGGCAGGAGGAATAAAAGTTCAAGGACAGCCTCAGCATTTTATTGAGACTGTGTCTCAAAATAAAAAGTGAGAAGGGCCGGGGATATAACTTAGTGGTAAAGCTACGGTTCAGACCCTAGTATCAAAAATAAAGTAATGTTGTAGTGCTCAAATGAGAATACATAAGTAAAAGTACTTAATAAAATTAGCACAAAGTATTGGTGCTGGTTTTGGGGGTTTTTTAGACAAATTATTATTGAATTGCCCAGACAGGCCTTGAACTCATGATCCTCCCAGCTCAGCCTACTTTGTAACTGGGATTATAGATTACAGGCATGTGCCACTGTACCTGGCTTGTTGGTCCTCATTGAAATTTCATTCCCCTGTCCCCTCTCACATAGTTTGGTGATTGAGTTTGTAGATTTTATACACATACTAAATTATGTTGAATATTGTGTTTATCAGGCTTACAGGAACTTTTATCAAGCCCTGAGTTTCAAGAGGAAAGATAGGGACTAAGTATCCTGTCCTATCATATCCATTTAGAATAGTTGATAATTCCATTAGTCCAATTAAATTTTGGATATGTCAGAAATTAGCAGAATTGTTTGATATGATCATCTTGTTCTCTGCTGTCATATGAACTCTCATTCTTTGAGTTTGCATTTCTCTCCAAGGAAAGGCAGAGTAGTGCTAACAATAGCCTACTTGGCCATCTTCCTCTTTTGGGAGACTATCCTAGAAATGAAGATTATAAACTGCCACTACTAAAGATTATTGCAGTGAGGAAAAGTGCTGAGAATCTCAAATTTTTTTTTAAGTTGCTCTTTCGGATACCCTCTTAGGATGAGATATTGATAAATGTTGAAGAGAGTTTTAGGTACCATTACCTGTGAGGATAGGATTTTCAAATGACACCTGTATTTCCATGATGTTTTCATAAAGAGTATTAATCTCTAAAATATATATCATTACATTGTCCCCCCTCCCCACACACACACCCAGATTCTATGTTTTGTACAAGGAATATTACAAAAAGTAAAAGTTGTTGGGTTTTGTTTTGGGATTTTTGGTTTTGGTTTTGGTCTAAAAAATTGCCAGTTGTGGTTTAAAGAAAAGTATTAGGTTTTGTTTTGTTTTTCCCATAAAATCTGGTTAAATTGTTCTGATCAAATTCAACATATTCATCTTCTTCCTCGCCTGCAGGGATGCTTGCCTTGTTGCAAAGGGAAAGTCAAGTAAAGCTGCTGTTGTAACTTACCAAACAATGCTCATTTTCAGAAGGACATGATCATTTTTAGCTGAAGGGAATGATCACTAGTAGAGGTTACCTAATCTTGCTTTGCCTGCTTCACTGTCTCATGTCAGCACCTCTTAAGTATAGTCATGTTGTTAGAAGACACTGATTTTATGCAGATTCACTAAGAATGTCCATTCAGCCCCTTTGCTTATTACCTTGTATGAAAAAGGAAACTATTTGGGAGCTACCATGCTCAGATTGCTTCCTCTGACTCACCACTTGTGCATATTCTGTTTTCATATGTGCTGATGTCTTTGTAGTCTCTTTGCCTTTCTTTCTGTAGGTATCTGTCTCGCTTACTGTGAGTGTGTGCAAGTCCCTCTGAGTGCACGCCTTTCTGTGTAAGTGCTGATCTCTCTCTCTTTGTTTCTGTGTCTTGCTTATAGATTCCTCTCTTTCTCTATGTTTCTCCCTGAATGTCCATGTGTGAGAAAGTCTTTGTGTGTTTGAAATACTGTAGAGGCTCCTTTCTTAGCCTTGACCATTTTGCTCATAGTATGTGTGTACCTGTGTAAAGTGGAAATGTATGCAGTGCATGCAAGCTTATATATGGTCTCAGACTGTAAACATTTGACCCCCACCTTTTTGAGTCTTCATCCTTTATGTTAAACATTGAGGTGAAGAATAAGAAGGGGGGAGTGCACAGAGGTTGTAGGAAAAAAAAATCTTGTGTGTGCAAGTGCCGATCCCGTTGACCCCTTTGAAAATTGAAATAATGATAATGCGCGTCTCCTGACTGCATCAAAGTATCAGCACATCAAAAGCCAGGAGGCATGAAATGCAAATGATAAAGTGAAAGCAGATGGATTGTGCATGATCGCCTGATGCCCAATGAATTTTAAAAGGTGCTGGTTTGCAAGGGGGGGGGGGAGGCTGAGGGTGGGGGGACTGAAATAAACACGTTATCCCTGCAATTTTTTTTGTTCTTGACGCTCACTCCTGACAATATTTTTTCACACTTGAGTGAACACCCACTTCATCTCTCTCTCCCTTTCTCCCTCTCTCTCTTTCTTTCTCTTTCTGTCTCCTCTCCAATTTCCCCCCCACCCCCCAATCCCACCTCTTACACGTCTCAGGTCATGTCGCTGCAGCTCCGGTGGAAATAATAAGATATAAACCACGAGGTTGTTATTTGCATAGAAATAGCATGGAGCCCCAGGCAGCAAGAGAGAAGGACACAGGGATCATTTGTCTAAAATTTTAATGAAAACTTTTGCTGAGGCAGAGATTTTTTAAAAAACTTTCTTTCTCCCTACTCTTCCCTAACCCTCCCCACACCCTCCAACCTCATCACTGGTCTGACTTAGCCTGATTTGATTTGAAGAGAAAGGATTGACACTCCACATATCATACTCACCTAATGTAACAACATGTAAATTGTTTGGTCCTTTAATATGAAGCTGAAAAGACACACATTCCCAACTTAGTACATCACATGTGTGCTTCAAGCTTTTATGGCTACATTGCATCTCAGCACATGCATGATTAAGGTGACCTGGTTTTAATCAGTTTACATTGTCCTCCCTTTTGCTTTCAAAAACTTATTTTTTAAAAACTTTCTTCCTTTTTTTTTTTATAGCCACTATTAGTAATCTACACATAAAATATACATATTGCAAGAGTTCCCTGGATTTTCCCCCAACTCTCAGCAGTTTTACTATACATGTTTTCTTTATGGGCACTATATCCTTTGTTCCAAAAGTAGAAAGTGCTTCCCACATTTGTATTTTTATCCCTCTCCCTTCGTGATTTCAGTATTTATATTTTCTTTTTGCATCTGTCTTCCTTTGTTGCCTGTAGTTATTTGTAAAGTCCAGAATATTTCCAACTGGAGGAAAAGTACAGTTTCTGGATTTTCTTGAATGATGTCATGCAGATTTGAGATTGAAACTAAAGGCAGTGGCTGGGCATTAGAGGCCTCCCAAAGCTTTATAATAGCCTCAAAATCAAGACTATTTGTCTGATTCCTTGTTATCTTCTGGGTTAAGCCAGTTGTATCAGAGCCATTTTATAGACATGAAGAGTAAAACAGAACTGACAGAGACAAGATCAGAGTCAGAACATGAATAATATCCCTAAGTTTTATGGCAGAAAGGGCTCTTAGGGTTCACAAAGTCTACAGCGAGAAGACAATGTGGTCATTTTCTTTTTGACCAAATGTCATAAGGGAAAAAAAATGTGTTGTGAGAGTGAAGTTTCTAAGGGCTTGCTGTTTCATGCCTCTCAAGGAAGTAGACCATAGGTTTCTAACTCCAGAACTATATGCAGGTGATGGAGTTCTCAGAATGCCTCACAGAGTGAAAGAATAGAACTGATGGGTGTGGCAAATTGCCCTGTGT